CTGGTGAGGAGGAAGTAAGGACTTCCAGGCTGAAGCTGGGTCACTTCCACCCAGCAAGCTCCAGACTCAGAACCTAGCTGAGTGGGCTTCATTCTGTACTTGAAGGGAGACTTGGGGCATCTCATCCTGACACAGTGGAACAGTCCTCATCCCTCTACCTTCAGCAGCAAGGGAAGACCATAGGGCTGATCTGTGACTTTGAAGTAAGAGTGTTTCACAGCTGGTATTTGAAAAAAAAGTTATAGACACCACCAGGAAGTGAGATCAGCTACACCACACCTGAGAAGGAAACTTAGGAGCCAGACTCATGTAACCCCGGGACAACCTTGCCTGCATCATCTGGGAAAGGAGGTCGAGCCAGCTCTCTACAGTCAGTGTGTATGCAGAGCTAATCCAGCCCTGTGTGTAGGCTCTCGAATCACACCAGCTCCCTCCAGGGAAGCTGTGGCCAGTTCTGGTGGAGAAGTGGATCCCTTCCATCCGCTCCCTGCATCCTTCAGCTGTCAACACAGCATCCGCCTTGTGGGACTGTTAATTACTGCTTTTATTATATTTACGCTGCTTAATTTTTTTCTCTGCAATGTACTCTTCCATCTAATTAGGTGTAGTGATTAGAATCTCTTTTATGTGTGGCAGGCGTGAGGCTTTGAATGTTGGAGGCGCTTGGTGACTTAAAGGAAAGCTGCAGAGAGATCAAAAGCCAGCTTCCTCCCTCTCCTACCAGGCAGCTGAGCACCCCAACCGGAGGGTGCAGCTATGGGCAGTGCACAGCCTGGAGGATCCACTAGGAGGTCCCGTGGGAAGGGGGGCTGAGCAGGCAGGCAGGCAGGACTCTAGCCCAAGAGTTGGTGCAGGCCCGTGGGGAACGTGGGCTCAGGGCTTGGAGACAGCTGTGCACAAGGGCTAGAAGAAATCTTTTAGCAAAGGACAGGCAGGCCTCTTGCCTTGGAGGCACTTTTCTGGGCCTGAAGCTTCTGTTCAGCATTTGCAGGGTCTGGGGTCAGGGCAGGGTCTTCTTGGAGACATCACGGTGAGCCAGGTTGTCACTCATCGCCAAGTCAGAGGATGCCCTGCTCTTGCTCTGCGGAGGCCTGAGCCTTGGGCACGGAAGCACATGCCTGAGCAGACACACAGCCTGTTTCTCCCTCTGATAAACTCACACCCCTGCACTCAGGTGCTCCCAAACCCACACACTGTCATGTGGACACAGCGGCCTACAGATGCACGCCCATGCTCCCTGACACGCTCGCACTCAGCCAGTCCGGCTCGCACTCCTCACACCACCACCCTGATGCACACACACCCATGTGCTCACGGACTTTCCTCCTGCTCTTACACTTTCCCACACAGGCATACACACACACACACACACACAGCACATGCCCCAAAACGACCACTGACTCCCTTCTGCGCAAGCACTGCATGCGTGCAGGCATACCCCCCACACTGGAGGAAGTTCTGCCTCTCTCTGTTAGGGCGCCCTGCCTCTGTGTCCCTCTGCATGACCAGAGCCCATGAGCACAGAGCACAGTTGGGAATTATGAGAGGAGAGGAGCAGGGCTGCTGTAGGGCTTCCGGTACCTGGGCCTGTCCTCTGTCTTCTCCAGCAAGTCGTGGAGCTTGCTTCATACCAAGATCCCTGGCGAAGCCTTGCCTTGACAG